AAGAGAATCGCCTAAGCCCAGTTGGAGGTTGCTGTAAGCTGTGACACTATAGTACTCTACCGAGGACGATAGTTTCTTTAAAGAGACTCTGTCTCTTTAAAAAATAAATAAATAAAAGAGAGAGAGAGCGATAAAGAGATCAACCTTAAATCCAGCTCCACTTGGAACTCCCCTGTGACCTTTGGCAAGACACTTCTTGTCTGTGAATCTCACCTTTCCTATCTATAAAATGGACTGACAATGAGCCACTACCAGAGGACTGCGGGAGACTCCACTGCTATGTTGCAAGCGAGAGCACCAACACTCAATAGGCAGGGTCTGTGGGTCACTGTCGCCCCCGTAATTCTTTTCAGCAAATATCTGCAAGGCCTTCCTCAATCACGTTGATTCTCCAGAGGCAGTGCTTTGAACAAGACCAAAAGCAACAGTTCGAGCCCCCAACCCCAGGCGTCAGTCTCCTCCCACCCTCTCCGACGTGGCCAGCTCAGAGTGCCCCTTGGCCGGCCTCGGGTCTCCTGGGGTTCCGGTACGGAGCAGCTGCTGGCATCGCAGCCGCTAGGTGGCGCGCGCACTCCCGCGATCACCCGGTGTTCCACGGACTCCAAGAGCGCACCGGGGTCTCCCGTGCGCCTCGGGCTCTTTGCAGGTGCCCTCCAAGCAGCTGCGCATCTGGTACCAGGTGGGGATTGTTTGCGGACCTTTTTGCCCTCTGAGTTTCTGATCCCATTTTCAAATAGGGGAAAAGAGGGAGATCAGGGAGCTCTGGGAGGAGCCTCCCCTGGGTTTTCCGGGCTGGGCGATGTCCGAGTGTCCTCTAGGCACAGGGCCAGAGCTTGGGCGTGCAGGCCCCCGCCCCTCCCACGGGTCTGGCTCCTCAGCCCAGCTCGAGTTCCGGCGCCGACCCCTCCCCGCCTTCTGCCCAGGAACAGCCCAGCCCAGCCCGGATCCGTTTCAGGACACTCGCGGTCGCAGCTAAAGATAGGAGGACACCTCACCATGGGCTAAAAATACGGCCCCCAGCCCCGGCATCGACATTGGGCAGCGGGAGGGCGCTCCCAGGTCCCAGGCGGGGGCAGGGGCTTGGAGATAGAATGGAAAGAGGAACAGAGAATTTGGGGTCGGGATGCGCGACGCCCCACGCGTCGCGGGGTCACGGGTGGGGCTTCGGAGACCAACAGGCGGGCAGGAAATCCCACGGAGCCCGAGGCGCCCACGAAAAGACCTCTGCAGAGGTGAAATGGGCGCTAGCGGGGGCCAGGCGCCACAGAGATGGGCCTCTCGGGGTCAGGTGGGGGGACCCATGGAGCTGCAGACGAGCTGCGGAATCCTGGCCTGAACTCACCATGAGGAGCGCAGATGTCCAACAGGCGGGCGGCAAAAGCTCTAGAGCTGGACGGTGCGACCGTGAGACACCACCAGGGCTGTGAACTTACGGAGCAGACCTTGAGCCTGAAGCCCCGCCCTCTGCCCGCAGCGCCAATGCCGGGGCCTCCACAGTCCGGCTCCGCCCATATCTATGCCCCCCTCCAGGCACCGCCCAGGGCCCCCCTTTAGAGAGCCACGGAGTTGGTATCCTCCGGGGCACAGGGTTCCAGTTGTGGCTTTAGCGGCTGCGAGCCAGGAGGTGTAGGGTGCCTAGGGTGGACTCCGCGAACTGTGCGATAGGCTGTGTCCATGGAAGCCCAAGCCCTCAGTTCTAGAAAGGCTAGGGGAGCGGCAGCAGTAAGACTGAATTCTTCAGAATTCACAGAGCGTCCTTGGACCGGTTCCCTCCCTGCAGGGGCTGGGTCGGGGGAGGCGCCAGCCCAAGTGCATTCAGTGCCTGCTAAGGGAATGAATGAAGCCTTGGAAACGCCTACGTTAAAATACAACATACTGTCGAGGGTTTTGATGAGTTTACTGTCCCCTAGAAAAGAAGGTATGCGGGAGACAGCATGGCCTGGGCACTTGCTGTCATACTTCTAGAGTGGGGTTGGGGTTCATTCATTCAGGTAGTGGTAGTTGCCAAACTCTATTCTTGTCACTGAGGATTCAGCCCCCTGTAAATTGGGACCTACAGCCTAAGGAAGAGAAATGGAGGGAATCCAGGTTCCCAAGTGCGTTATGATTACATACCCTTCGAGGCTTCGAGGTGAAGTAGGTGAGTACTAAGAAGAGAGAGGGAAAGGAAGGGGAAGGGGTAGCCAGAGATGGTATGGAAGGACCTTGATTTCTAGAGGGTGACAGCCGTGACACTGAGTGTGATCAGGATGGTTGGTTTGCTTACTGTAAATATGGGAAGGGCCCTTAGGGAGGCAGGGCCAGGAAGACACCAGAAGGAGAGAAGGATGTGGGAGGTAGGGAGGAGATGTCCGCAAAGCTAGGAGGGAAGCGAGGATGGGAAGAAGTGGACCGTGATAGGTAGAATAACGGGAATAATGGCCCCCTTAAGATGTCCATGTCCTAAACTCCAGAACCTGTGGACATCTTTGTCTTGTGGGAAAGAGGAATTAAGGTTATTGATGAAACAATGGTTGTTAATCAGCTAACTTTAAAATAGATTATCCTGAATTATCTGGATAATCATCCCAGTGTAATAATAAGGGTCCTTAAAAGTAGAAGAGGGAGACAGAAAAGGAGAGTCAGAGAAAGATATGGTGCCAGAAGGGCCAGAGAGATGCTGGGCTGCTGCATTTGAAGGAGTAAGAGAGAGCCACAAAACAAGGCATCTGTGCAGCCCCTGGAAGCTGGAAAAGACAAGGACATGTTTTCTCTCCTAGAGCCTCCAGGAGGAATGCAGCCTGCTGACACCAATGAGACTCATGTTGTACTTCTAACCTATAGAACTGTAAGATAAAATTAAGTTGTTTTGAACCACCAAGTGTGCGATCATTCATTTCAGTAGCAATAGAAAATGAATACCGGGGCTCAGGACCCTTTGCACATTGGTTACAGTACCAGCCACATACACTGAAGTTTGCAGGTTTGAACCTAGCCCAGGCCAACTAACCAACAATGACAACTGCAACAAAAAATAGCTAGGTGTTGTGGTGGGCGACTGTAATCCCAGCTACTTGGGAAGCTGAGGCAAAAGAATCACTTGAGCTCAAGAGTTTGAGGTTGCTGTGAGCTGGGATGCCATGGCATGCTACCAAGGGTGACATAGTGAAACTCTGTCTCAAAAAAAAAAAAAACCCAAAAAAATCGCTGGTGCCTGTAGTTCAGCAGCTAGGGTGCCAGCCACATACAACGGAGCTGGCAGGCTCCATTGGAACCAAGCCTGGGTCTGCCAAACAACAGTGACAACTACAACCCCCCCCTCCCAAAAAAAAGAGCTGGGCGTTGTGGCAGGTCCTTGTGGTCCCAGCTACTTGGGAGGCTGAGGCAAGAGAATTGCTTAAGCCCAAGAGTTTGAGGTTGCTGTGAGCTGTGATGCTATGGCACTCTACTGAGGGCGACATAGTGAGACTCTGTCTCAAAAAAAAAAAAAAAAAAAGAAAGAAAAGAAAAGAAAGAAAATGAATACAGGGAAGTTTCCGGTTTTAATCTTGAGTCTGCCCACTCTCCCCTCAACTCTACAGGGAGGATTGGTCAGGTGGTTTCTGCTGGGACTAGGCTGATGGCTTGGAGCAGGATTGAGGCCCGGACAGTTGAGGAAGTGGGGATGATGGCCCTTGGTCAGGTCATTGTGTGGGTGGGTGAAGGGTATGGCTCTCCCTTTCTTGCCACCTGGGCTTTTGTGCTACCCACCCACCCAGGCCAGCCTGTGCCCTTTACCAATGGCCTCTTGTCCCTGACCTCCTCAAATCCTTCTGAGGACTTGGTGAGGTAGCCAGGGCCCAAGTCATTATCCCCATTTTAGAGATAGAAACTGACACCAGGGCACTGAAAGCGGTTTGCTCAGCCTGGAAGGGGTAAGACACATGGGCTCTAGGCCCTCCTCCCCATCCCTCCCCTCAACAACCCAAAACTCAGACAGGAGGGACAGTTCAGTGCCCTGAGCATTGGCCCCTGAGGCTTTAACAGGGTTTTCAGCTGGTTCTGCCACGCTGACTTGTTACAGGCAAGTCCTTGTTGCACAGGCAAGGGACTTTCCCTTTCTGAGCCTCCTTGCCTGTAAAATGGGATAGCATTAGGTAATGTGAGTTCCAAGCAAGATAAGGGACTTGCAATGGGAACACTCTGCCCCTGGGGTGGTACAATTGAATGCCAACATTGTAACAGGTGCTTTGGTACACAGTGGACTGGCCTTCTGCCCAGCTGCCCATCTGTAAAGACCCCAGTGTGAAGCCAACTGAGCTGGAATGAGGAATGAGGCTGAGGCAAAGCTTCCACCCTCTGTCCATTTGCTGGGGGTATTACACTGGGGGTGGGAGGCAGGGTAGGGTCAGGCACGCCTTTCCTGACAAAACACAAAGTTACAATGATAAAAGATAGACAAAGGCGCTCACCCAAGGCCATACACAGCTAGGAAACAACTCCAGAACTTTTTTTTTTTGAGACAGAGACTCAAGCTGTCCCCATGGGTAGAGTGCCGTGGCATCACAGCTCACAGCA